CACCCCCTCCCTCCCTTCCCCGGGCGGGCTTATGAAACACTTTCCCGTGGAGGACGGAATGCAGCCAGCGTTCCTGTGCCTGAGTCAGCTCCTGGTGTCCTGGTACTCACTGCGTTCCTCACACAAACAGTTCCTGCTTCCTTGTGACCGCCGCGAAGGAAAACACAAGTGTCCCGCAGAGCTTTCTTAGAATTTCCAGGGAGGCTGGCTGGCTGTAGGTTGAACTTTGAAGCCTGTAAAACGGTTGTAAGTCACTTTCAATGAAAGCCGCCTGGAACGGTCTTTATTGCAAATTATGTAACTTACCAAGGATAGCTCACCTTCTGTCCAGCTGATCGACAGAGCAGTAATGTGTGTGGAATTTAGGTTTCGGTCGAAAAGTTTTCCAAAGACGCTTTAAAAATTAATGCAGCAGCTTGGAGGGTTTTAGAAGGGCTGTGTTGTTGGGTCTTGAGAGTTTTAAGAATTTAGATTCGGAGAGAAAGCCAGTGTACCAAAAATTCTAAAGTTTTGATTTAGCGGGCAAGGTGAAAGGTATTTCTAGTTTTAATAGGGCACTATCATGATTTAATGATAGTATTCTAATTATCCTTTTAAATTATGCCAGATATTAATAACCTGTTAAATTTTGCAACAGGAACAAATTATGTGCTGTTTGGTGCCTTTGAAGTATTGGTGGTAATGAAAATTGCTAAATACCCTTTTCTTGAATATGAATTTTTTGATGGAATTCCTTTGGACATGATTTCTTTTTTTTTAAAGTCATTCTAAACTGTTGTATCAGGCTAACATTAAACTTTAAAGAGCTCTATAGGTAAAACAGACAAAAATATGAAGAGATTAATAATCTTTAAAATTTGGGTAGATTTTGCCAGGAATGCTGACTAAACCATTTGGCCCCCTGAATTTGGCAGGTGCAGGTGGAATCATAGTGCTAAATTTGTTTTAGAATGTTAAAATAGATGAGAGATTTAATATAATTCCTCCTCAGGGTGATCCACATCGGTACAGTGGTTTAGCAATACATATCATTTTCTGAATTGTGTTTTTTTTTTAAAATTTTACTTCAAATTATATGTGTGTGTGTTGGCAGGTGGTATTTACACTTGAGTGCATGTGCCCATGGAAGCCAAAGGCATTGGCTCCTCCTGGAATTGGAGTTATGGGCTCTTGGGAGCCATCCATTGTTGGTGCTGGGAGCATAACTTGGGTCCTCTGCAAGAGCACTCTTAACTGCTGAGCCCTCACTTTAGTCCCCTGCATTGTGCTCTCATTAAAAAATCTCAGACTCGGAGTTGGAGAGATGGCTCAGTGGTTAAGAGCACTGATTGCTCTCTGGAAGGACCCATATGGCAGCTCACAACTATCTGTAACTCCAGTTCCAGAGGATCTTAAACCTTCACACAAACATACATGCAGGCAAAACACCAATGACATAAAATAAAAATAAATAAATCATTCAACAGACACATACATCTCAGACTCACGCTCCATAATTTCCCCACTTGTGAAAGCCGAAAGCCAAATCTGCTGTCTGCCTTGTCATCTCTCAAATATTACTGTTCTTTAAGATACTGTGTCAACCAGAGTTCTCTTCTGTTGAGGTTTCTCCTATAACGAGCCCTGCATGCATTAATAAACTCACATAGGGTTTGGAGAAGTGGCTCATTGGTTAAGAGCACTGGCTGTTCTTTTCCAGAGGACCCAGGTTCAGTTCCCAGCACACACAGGATAGTTCACAACTGTCTGTAACTCCAGTTCCAGGGGACCTGAAACCCATGGCAAAAACACTAAAACTCAATAAAATAAACTCATGTACTTGAGGATAATTTCCATTAAGTTGGTTGATCTTAATCGAAACTACAGAATACCGTCACATGAATATCTACACTCAAATTTGACCCAATTGGGCACTGTAATCTTACCATATTTAACTGTCACAGCAATCAGACTTTTTAAAAAACTCAAGATGATAGTATTTATCCTATTCTTTAATATTGACTTTATGATATTACCACCTGTAGTTTTTCCACAGGTAAAATTCGTGTGTTATTTTTATGTATGCTGGATATGTTGGAATATGTTGGAAATGTTTTGAAAAAAAAAAACTAATCACAGAGATAGCAAAAAATTTGATCTGTCTTTTGTATCAGTACATTTATGTATATTATTTTTCTGATATTTTCCTAATTTCAGAGTGTTTGGGAAAAGTAGTACCTTGACATACATGTTTTTGAATATAATTTTTTTATTACACACCTGAATTACAGCATCATTAGGTTGGAAGTAATCTTGTTGTGTAGAATAGTCCAGCCTTTTCATTTTTCAGGGATGAGAAAGTGAGGTCTGTAGAAAAGTGCTAAGGAGTGGTGATGAGTTTGAACTAAATGCTACACAGTTGTCTTGGTATCCTACCTTTAGTCTGCCCTCACTGTACATTCCTGTCCCCTTCTCTTCCTGAGGATCTTGCTTTGTATGTAGCCCAAGCGGGCCTACAGCTGGTAATGTAACCCAGGCTGGCCCAAAACTGATTCTCTTGCCTTAGACTCCCAAGTGCTGTCATTACAGGCACGTGCCACCACACCCAGCTTCTCACTGTAATTGTTAAGTAGATCAATCAGTAAGTTACTTTCTCCACATCCTGTAAATAGCTAACAGGGTTGTTGCCCTCACACACCCCACTTTTACCTATTTTTTTCCCTTTTTTTTTTTTTTTAAAAAAGCCATACCCTTATCTGAAGGGTATTTTTAATATTTCAAACAATGCTTAATAAATATCTTTCAGTGTGTCTCTGAAAAGATGTATAGTTTTCCAAAATGTATACTACCTGCAAAGGGAACTATTGATAAAACAGGTTGATGTGCATTTTCAACTTTACTGGTTACAGCCAGATTATCCTTTAAGGGCAAATGATTTTTATTCCTGCATTTAGTCTATGAGTGGAAGTGATTTCTCATCTTTACCCACCATTATCATTGTCAGATTTTAAATTTTATGTCCATTTGGATGAAAAATTAGGTATTTGTTTCTTTCTCTTTCTTTCTTTTTTTTTTTTGTTTTTTGTTTTGTTTTGTTTTGGTTTTTTGACACAGGGTTTCTCTGTGGCTTTGGAGTCTGTCCTGGAACTGGCTCTTGTAGACCATGCTGGTCTCAAACTCAGAGATTCACCTGCCTCTGCCTCCTGAGAGCTGGGATTAAAGGCGTGTGCCACCACCGCCCAGCTTGTTTCCTTTCTTTAAAAAAAAAAAAAAAAAAAGATTAAAAATGTGTATGTAGATACAGTCAAGAAACAGAACAGTTTCAAATGCTGTCCTTTTTTAGAGTCAGCCTTCCCCAAACCTTTTACCCCTGGCAACTACTGATTTCCTTCTTTATCATTTCTTTTTAAGATATCATTCCATTTAAATCATAATAGTATTTAGCTTTTTTTGCCATTCATTCAAGTTTTTACAATTTATTATATCCTCTTGTGAAAGATCCATATACATCTTGTACCCGTTTTGCTCTTTTAGAAGCAGGTGAGATGTCAAATGCTTTTAAAGCCTAGGTATGTCTTGAACTGGAGATTTCTCCTTCAAATCTTCTTTGTAAGCACCAACCTTGGTTTTCAGTTCACTGACTGTTCTTGCATCCTTGAACTGTTTTCTTGAGAGTCTCTCTCTGATTTGTTTAGTTTTTTGAGACAGGATTTCTTTGTGTAACAGCTCTGACTGTCCTGGAACTCACTCTGTAGACTAGGCTGGCCTCAAACTCACAAAGATCCACCTGCCTCATGTCTCCTGAGTGATGGGGTCAAAGGTGTGTGCCACCACTGCCCAGAAGTCTTTTTCTTCTTATACAGGGCGTGTCTTGAAAGTCTATGTAAAGGCATGTAATACTCCATGCATTTGCATACCATCCTTGTTTAAGTGCTAGGCTAATCTTTATCTTGCCAGTATTAGTATCGGTGTGCTGAGCAAGCATTGTCTCTGCTTTTCTTTCCTTTAGCATGATGTATCTGAGATTCATCCATGCAGAGCGTGTCTACAATTCTTCCGTTTATTGCTGAACACGGTGTTCTCTTGTATAAATGTAACACCATTTGTTATCCATTCACCAGCTGAAGGACATTTAAGTTTTTTTTCAAGCTTTTTGTGATTATAAAGCTGTCATAAGGGGCTGGAGAGATAGTTCAGTGGTTAAGAGCATTGGTTGTTCTTCCATAGGACTCAGGTTCGATTCCCAGCACCCACATGGCAGCTCACAACTGTCTGTAACCCCAGTTCCAGTGGATCTGACGCCCTCTTCTTGATTCTTCATGCACTGCATGCACATGTTACA